TGGGGCGGCCGCGGCAGCGCTCGGTGTCCCCGCCGGCACCGCCGCTCGCTGCCCGTCCCCTCCCACGCGGGTGCTCCATTCCCTCCTCTTCCCGCTCCGGGAGCTCTCTCGGATCCCGACGCGACGGCAACAAAGCACAAAGGCTCCTGCTGCCGCTTCCATGGCCCTCTGGAATGGGAGCCCCCGGCTCTCCCGCTGCCCCTGGGGCAGGAACCTGGGCACAGGCAAGGGGGAAAGGCCCCAAGAGCCACCAACTTGCTGGGCCCTTCAGTGCCAACCAGCAGGGCCGAGGCCACGATCCTGCTGCTCGGGAACAGCACGGGAGGGATTCCAAAAAGGAAACCTGGCTGGATAACATGCTGCCAACGCTCTGCTGGTTGGGGAAGGGCAACTGGTTCAGCTCACACAGGTGCAGGCAAAGTTATGGCAGAGCCCAACAGGGGCATGGTGTGAATTTAAACACAAAGGGGATAAATTAGCACCAAGGAGCTTCAAAAGAGGAGCTGGATCTGCCACTAGTGACTCTACACCTTCAGAAAGTGCAACCAGACCATCTCACAACTGTGCCCCTGCTTCACTAGGGTCTTCAGGACTGTCCTTGTGTCTGGAGAACAGGCCTGGGTCTGGTTCTGACAGCTCTGGCAGCTCCACAACAGGGAGTTCTTCAGGATTTATTGCTTTCCTGCAGGTTGAGGGTATCTGTCCGTGCTCCAGACGCCCTTCCACGCTCAAGCTTCGTGGCAGCATCTTCATTCCCAGTGCCCAACGTCTCCATGGGATTCATTGGATTCAGAGGGCACTTGCTCCTCTCCTTTCCTACCAACCCATTAGGCAACCAAGCCCCAAAGTGGCAAGAGAGGAGCTACCTACCGGCTGGTAGTTGATGGTTGGATTCATGCTTGGAGTTGTAGTGCGGATGAGGCCAGGTTTAGGAGGAACGCGCTGCCCCTGGAGCTGGGCAGGGTTTGGAGCAATCACACGCTGTGACATGAGCATATGGGGCAGAGCCGTGTTTGTGGCAGACCTAATGACACTGTGACCCTGTCGAGAGAGGAAACAAGGAAGAGGGGGGAAAAAAGAGGTCTTGAGGCAAAGCAGGGTTTTTAGTTCCATGCTCAGGCTCTGCAACAACCGAGCATTTGCACGGAACAAGCTGCTTTCCGTTGCAGAAATCCTTGTGTTGCAGGCATGGAAATCACAGTGCAAAACAGGACCCAACCATTCCAGCCCGAGACCCCTGCACAGGCTGCACGTCCCTCTGCTCCTGACCACCACCACAACGGATCCAATGGGAAAACGACCCGGCAAAGGGCTGGGAGGTTTCTGCCAAAGGCAGCCTTGAAACACCTCGTGTCTGCTGTTCTTTATTCCCTACTTGCTCTCGGTGAGGTTCTTCATTGTCACACATACGAAACTCTTCCCAAGGCCCGTGCAAACAATGTGTTTCCTCCTCCCTTGAAGCCCGTTTCCTTCACCAGCCTCATCCCACTGCGCAGTCACAATAGCTCTGACCCCAGAATCGTTGCCATAGTGAAGAAAACAAATGTCCCAAACAAAAGAGATGGTTAATGGGGGAGTAAATGATCAGGGGGAGTAAATAATCAGGACGACGGAAAGGAAAGTCTTGGGCAAGAGACTTTCAGTCCCCCAAAAGATGGGTTTTTTTGCCCTTTTTCTGCTGTTTTCCTCTGAGCACCCCGTCTCGACGCACAGTTCTGCTCAGCAGCAGGACCATTTGCTCAGGGTTATCACCCTTTCGAGACGTGAGCCCCGTCCCCCTCATTTTCAGCCCCAATCAGCCCGGGGAAGGCTCACCTGTAACGTCCTCAGGTTCTGAGGCTCAACCCCCTGAGCTCCGGGCCGGGAGGGCAGCTTGGACAGTCCCTGCTGTCCCACGTGAGCAGGCGACGGCTGGACAATAGAGGCCGCGTTCTGGACAACGGGAGTCTGGACGGGGAGAACAAACAGCAGCGTCAACACCCGGCGCTTGGGAAGGAAACCCACGGGCAGCCCAGGCCGAGCAGCCCCCTCCAAGCTAAATCCAACGTTAATGTTTCCGAGCGGCACAAACTGGGGCCCCACACGGCGCCGCTCGGAGCGTCACCTTCTGCACCACGTTCTCCTTCTGCAGCTGGCTCTGCCTCAGCTTCTTCAGCAGCACCAGCCTGGCCTCCTCCAGCCGGAGCTCGTCCCGGAGCTGCTTGATGAGCTGCTGTCGCTCCTCTATGCTCTTCCCCTGCAAGCAGAGAGAACCCGCTCAGGGAACGCGGCGGGAAGCGGCTGCCGGGCACTGGAAGCACCAGGAAGCACCAGGAGGCACCGAGTGAGCAGGAACGGGGACTGCAGACAGCGAAACGGGCCGGCCCGGCGGGCCCAAATCCGCTGCGCCGTGCGGGGAGCTCCCACGTCCTCCGAACGCGCTCCCGTCGCAGCAGGGCGCTTCCCGAGGGTGGAATTCCTTACCTTGAACATTTCAAGATTTGCTGCCTTAAGTCTTTCTTCCATACGAGAGCTGGCCCGGGGACTGGATGCCTCGTTATCGGAGAGGACAATGATGTCCGGTGAGGGGGTTAATCGGCCCCTGTCCTGGTCACTGCGTAACGGGAGGAAGAAGAAAACGGATGAGCCACAAGGACCAGGCACCAGGAGCAAACGTGCGGCCGGGCAACTCCCCTCCACCGCAGATCCCGGCGGGAATTCGGCACCTCCATCCGCAGAGCTGAGAAACTCAGGCCCTGCCCAGCTCCGGAGCGGGAAAAGCGCCCGCTGCTCGGGAGCTGTCGAGGGAAAAGGCTCCGAAATGTTGGGGCAGACCCGTGGGGAAGCTCCTGCCCCTGCCCTCCTGTTGTTGCACCAAGGGAATGTGACAGCGCCTTGGAAAAACAGGGAATAACCCTGTGGAAGTAGGGGCCGTGGCTGCAGACGGAGTTATCGCCGCTCAGACGAGCCGGAAGGGCCTGGGTTTGCGGCTGGAGCGGGAGGGAGGGGGGG